ACGAAAAACGGCAGCGTGGCGACTCTCATTCTTCTCTCTGCTACTGGTCTGCTCTAGAGTCCTATACATAGGCCGGTATTCATAGTCAGTTCCATAGACATAGTATATCTAGACCATAGACATAGTATATCTAGACCATAGACATAGTATATCTAGACCGAGCGTTTGCCTTTATTTAAGGAGTGGGGGTAAAGGTGCACGTAGAAAAGGACATACTCTGTTTCGTGCCCCTTGCGTTCTCTCTCGCTCGCACAGAGCATAGCGCTCTCTTTCGTCATGCTACGTGCGAGCGAGAGAGAACGCAAGGGGCACGAAACAGAGTATGTCCTTTTCTACGTGGGCATTTGTTTAACGGTCACCACCGATCAAGAACAAAGGATATCCCACTTCTGAAGGCTGTAATAGCTTTCCTGGTTATTAAGCGGTTATTTGAATTAACCGCAGAAAGTTAAGGATGCGTAGAAAGTCGGGAGATGCCGGGAATAAGGCTAACGGAAAGGATTGTTCTTGAGAATGATGGTCACCGGAAAATACTCCGTGGCTGGTAAATAACTTCAAATATGAATATATTCTACCAAATGCACTAACGGATACAAATCTCTTCGGGTCTAGTCTACGAACAGTCGTGTATTCGCGGACAAAACAACTTTTATGGAAAACGCTTAGCTATCGCTTAACGACTCGAAGGACAAACACCGATATCAGTGAGAGGCAGACAATCGAGCAAAATTCGAAATCTCACTTTCAAAAGCCCAAAAGCTCTTTCAATGGCCATGCGAGTAGATGATAAACAGTAATTAAAGTTCTTTTGCCTTGCAGTAAGATGTCCATTATCTCTAACCGGTACCATGACATGTGAGTGAATTGTATATGCTGCATCTCCAAGAAGGTGAGAATTCGAAGGAAAATACTCATCTGGCCTCTGGATGAACTCAGTTAAAGGAGAATTCCTAAAAACACGTGCAACATGCACAGACCCTACATGCCCGGCATAGCAATGAATGAATAGACTGCGAGCATCACACACAGCTTGAAGCTGAATAGCAGGATATTTTTTTCTACAGATATAAAAAGCTGCATCTTCTTTAGGAGCTCGTATCTGTATAAAAGAACCATCAACAGCCCCAATGACACCTGGAAAACCCTTTGCTCTTTGAAATTCTTCGATCACACAGATAGCCTCCTCTCCTCTTGGCCATTTGATAAAACGTGGTGCTAGGCAGTGGAGGGCATAAGTCACACGTCTTACAGCGCGCAATGCAGTAGCCTTTCCCACACCAAACTTGACACATTCAGACCTGTATGTATACAAAACGATAGGGTTACAGCTGCAATATATACTATTTCTTATAGTGGTTTCAACATAATCAAATACATACCGATATGAATCTGGAGTAGCCATGAACCATAACGTTACCATAAGCTGTTTCTCTGAAGATAGTTGCTTCCTTCCATGAGCATTTGTAGCATTCAAAGCTGGCCTTAGAAGTCTCAAAATCATTTGAAAGGTCTCTGGAAACACCCTGCAACATAGCCAAAGTCAAACATATGACAGATCTGTATTTATCAGTCGTTGACGGGAAATACATTCACAAACCTAAAATGTTCTTTAAAAGTTATTCTGGAGTATCCTGGAACAACTCGTTTCACATAATCGGTCAACTTTTCTATCTGAGGAGTTTCACCCCGCGTCTCATTCACCATCAATATGGCATATAAGGTACGCGTTTCACTTTCTTCGTCACTAGAATCCTCTTCATTGCTGCTAGATAACGAAGAGGTTTCATTATCATCTTCTCCATCAACATCAACCTGGCTGCAAATAACAACGGAAGATATCACAGAGAGCACATCATCAGCCGACATTTCATCTGCCATGTCTGCTTACAAACAGCCCAAGCGCGCATAGCGCGCATGTGTTTCCCTATGCGCAGTAAGAGTGATGGGAAAAAGGGAACGAGTCAATGCACTCATGCGATATGCTGCGTTTCATGCGGTTCATGCGTGAAACGGA